AACTAGATTTGGAGCATTCACAGGAGATTGAGAGAAGAGTGGGCTTCAGGGAGAAGGATTATTGCTAAGGCTGAGAATTTCTTGTTACACCGGGCTGCAACAAAGGCTCTGATTTGAGGGGAGAGAGATGCCTGCAGTCTGGAAATTGAAAAAGCCCCTGCACTGGGATAGTCATAAAGGGTTTGCATGGGGAGGGTGGGGTGGCAATAAAAAGTGGCTGACACAGATCAGCTAAATTCCTGGTAGCTCACTCAATCCTGGGTCCTGAGGCAGATGCTATTTCTGCAACGAGGATTTGGGGATGGATGCTGTGACTCGGCCTGCGGAGCGCCTGCTCTTCCATCAGCAAACAAGTAGGTTGGGAGATCTGGTCAAATCTCCCTCAATCCCACTTCAGACCGAGCCAAATCCTTTGGTTTATCACATGATTAGCAAACTGGATTTGGTTATGATCATCACAGCAGCATGGCACGTACCACTTACCCCCTGTCGGGACACCACTTCAGCTCAGTTCAGTCTCCGATTATAGAATTAGTAGCACTGTCCCTCGCCATATGCAATTTCTATGGGAAAATGCCACGTTCAATCATTTCAGTCAGCTTCTTTGCCTTTTACGAGCCATTCTTCACCTCCTGAAGAGAGACCCATAAACTAACCAAGAGCCTTACTAATAATCAGGGAATTTGTATGAGAAACTCCAGGGGTCACCTGGCCACTTGCTAACCTCACTCGTGGAGGAGGCAAAGTTTCAGCTCCCCACATAATCTATGCTCAGACATTGTAGGCCATTATTCCCTCCTGGTGAATGATGCACATAAAAGGTTGCTGATTTGGTTGCCAGCATTCATTTGACTGGCGCTCATGCCGTAACGGCTGCAAGTGGCAAGCTGCGTGGCAAGCATGTGGGATGCTAGCTTACCAAAGAAGGTTGTCTAGGGCCAGCTGGCCTCTGGCAAGCTTAGACCGCACGTGGCCATAAGTGTACAATTCAAAGCGTGCAATATTAACTCCCGTAACTGGGACAGGACGACACAACGCTTGTTGACTTGTATGGGCACAGCCCCTTCTGAGCACTAGGGCCTTTGAGATGTTGAGTAAATGTGCCAGAGGAAAATGGTTCATTCACATAGCAGGTGCTCGCTGATGGCATGAAGCACTGTCCTCTTCAGGGATGGAGACCAGACAAGAACAGCCACCTGCTACCAAGTCCACCTGTTGGGAACTATGGCGGAGATTTTCAAAGCAGCATAATGGACTTAAAACATCCAACTTCTGCCGAGGGCCAATGAGAAGGTTTCAGGATGGGCTGTAGCTGTGCAGCGCAAGCCCGGCCCCTGCTTTTGTAAGTGCCTTTTGTGGTAGGCATGGCCTGACATATTTTTAAAGGGCTTTGTTCTCCTGAAATCTTCCACGTAACATCCTCAGTAGCACTTGGCAGCATTTCAGATCCGGAGTTCCTCAAAAGCAGCTGCTCTGTTTGCAGATGGAAAGGAAGCCAAGGCAGCAAGATATCTTAACTTCAAGCTTCGTTCTTTCATGACTTCCGTATTCTGCAGTTAGTGCCGCAGCCTGAATATTCACCTAAATACTTTGTCCCATGTGGGGAAGGCAACAGTCCCTGGCTATATTCAGAAAGGACTGAAGGAATTTGATTCTGTCTAGCTGGAAGTTTGACCCCACAATGTTGCTGAACATAGGGGTTTTATTTAGTCTTCTAAATGGCATATTTTTTTACCTGCTTTTTGCCCCAATTACATACACCAGACATTTTGTACTAATCCCTTCCTTTTCATTTACCAGGTGCTAATCACAGAGTCATCCAGTGCTTTCAATTTTCAAGACCACAAGGTGGGATACATAGGGAACAAAGGTGAACAAGAGGTACAAAGAGACAAGGAAGCTACCTTTAGCAATAATGAAAAGCGAGGATGTAGAGGAGTGTGTCCCCCAGAAGTGGAAGGGAGTAATCATAAAGAGCGGTGAAGTCCAGCTGCTAGGGAAAGAGATATCCTGCTTTGTATTTAAAGTTAGTTCGATCCTTTGTCAGCTGAATTGGTTTTGACAGAGCCCAGATGGGAACAGTTCATGCACATAAAGAAAAGAGCAATCATTTAGCAAGAGGCAAAGCTGACCTGGCAGGAGTCATGAAGCTGGTCAAACTGCAAGGCTGCAAAACCTCTGCAGCAGATGCCCCATGTGTGCTAACAAAGCCTGGGAATCGGGGGAATCAAAAGCGGGCGTTCTGCACCAGTATCTATGCTGCCATGTGTGCGTCTTGAAGAAGGAAATACTCTTTTTGTCTTCTTTTTTATGGTGGCCACAGGGAGAAAGGGGTACTTGGGTAACTAAATGCAAACTGGAGCGCCCAAACCACGACCTTGGCCAAAGATTTTCCTCTTCAGTTTGAGATCCTAGATCCGCTGTTTTATGATGCTGTTTATATTGCCAGGGCACCTGCAGGTCCCAGCAGAGACCAAAGCCCTTGAATACCGAGCTCTGGAAAAAACGCACGTATGAGATTGTCAGCGCTGGGGCCATCTTGCAACATCAATACACCAGACAGACAACAGGTGAGAGGAGAGAGAGGCACAGGGAGCGTTAGCGATTTGCCTCCGATGCCACAGAGAGCTGGTGGCCCAGCTAGGAGAAGCACGCAGTGCTCAAACCACTGATCTACACTACCTCCAAACTATGCTTATTAAGTAAATGACCTAGAACCTGCATGGTCCCATCCCCATTCAACTGGTAGGCTTGCTCGCACCTAATTTCCCTTCTGATGTCTCCTCCTAGCGTTAAAACTAAGAAAAAACGTTGAACAAAAATCTCCCTTTGACAGGCCCCACCCTTAAAAGCCCGAACAACAGGGCAGACCCTACAGTGAGAGACTGCGGGACCTGAACCTGTTCAGCCTCCACAAGAGAAGGCTAAGGGGGACCTGGTGACTGTCTATAGACTCACTAGGGGGGACCAGAGGGGTTTGGGGGAGACGCTGTTTCCCCTAGCGCCCGCTGGCATAACAAGGAGTAATGGGCACAAGTTGATGGAGAGGAGGTATAGATTGGACATCCGCAAAAACTACTTCACGGTTAGGGCGGCTAGGAGCTGGAACCAACTTCCAAGGGAAGTGGTGCTGGCCCCTACCCTGGGGGTCTTTAAGAAGAGGCTGGATGCCTACCTGGCTGGACTCGTTTGAGTCCCATTTCTCTTTTTGGGGTTTTTTGTTGTTCTCCCGCCCTGGCGGGGGGTCGGGCTAGAAGATCTACTAGGTCCCTTCCGACCCTTAATCTATGAATCTATGAATCTATGAAAGGGTTCCTGATCTACCACATTCTGCTAGCAGGCTTTTTTTGGAAGATACCCAACACAAGCACCTGTTCTGGTGGCCAACAGGAGAGTATTTTCCTATGGCAGCCTTGCACTAAGAAATCACACTCATAAGGGCACATCCAGATGACAAGAACAACTGTGCTGGAGGACTTTGTTACAATCCAGTGGGTTTTTTTTATATTGCACATAGGATCTGACCCAGGCTCCATGTCTCCAGTAGCTGCCTCTGGGGCCAGTGACAGTGCCCAGGAAAAGATACTCCAGAAGAAAGTGCAAGAAAACCCCTACCTCTGGCAGTTGGAGCTGGCTTAAACCCCGAAGCACAACGTTTAACATCTCTTGCCAGATGTTTTTTCTTCATTTGCTAACATCTGAATAGTTGTGTTCTCCATATTGGAGTCCAATCCCTTTTTTTTTTGGATCTCAGAAACTTACTGGCTTCAATGACATCCTGTGGCAGGGAGTTCCAGGGTCTAATTGCACATGGCGCAAGATCGCTTGACTTTCAAATTCATCCCCTTTCGTCTCACTGCATTCCCCTAGCCCCTACCAACAGCCTGCACTCACCTGCAAGGACTTGTGCTATCAACTGGGGCTGGGCAAGGAGACGCAGTGATGGATCATGCACCAACAGCAAACACACAGCTCTCTCCTAGTAGCCAGCGAGCTCGCTGCCAACTGCCCAACCTGGGAAATGACGCAGTTGTGGTTTATTTCTAGGATCCTCCAATCCATTCCAGGAAATTCCGGTTAATTATACACATAATGGAAGGGGGAAAAAACTGCCAGATTCCCAAAGGTCTTTGGGCTCTCCGAGTGAGCAGGGAGGTGAGGCAAGGGCCTCTGAGCATTTAATGTGTCAAGGAAACTCAACTCTTTGGCTGCGGTCCAGGAACTTTTCATGTGGATTTCCAGCCACAGCCAGGGGATTCTCGGGTGCTAGAGGAGCCTTTAATTTAAACCAGGTGCCTCTGAAAGGAAAACACTCATGAAAGGCAAACTTGGTTGCTTTCCCTCGACAATAAAAAAGGGCAATCACGCACATTTCACTGAAATATTCTTCTTGGAACCCAGGCCCTTGCTTTAAACGAGCTGCTGAAACCTCATCCATTTGGGCAATCTGCATGAAACTGAAACTACCAATATTTCTGGAGCCAGAAAAATAGTTTAGCCGAGTGCCAGCTGAGTCCGCCCAGAGCTGCCAAGCGAGAGATCTTACAGTATGGAAAGCGCGCAGGCTGGCGGAGAACAAAGGCAAACCGTCTTTGTAACATTCCTCCACTCTCTCTTTTGTTGCTGCTGTCTGTAAACTTAACACTAGCACTGCCACAGCTGGTTGCAATTGTCCTAGTTACCAGGCAGATGCGGAGTAAGGAGGTAGCAGGAACTTGAAAAGTCAGGGGAAAAGACGAGGTCTTATATGATGCATCGCAGGAGAGAAGCTGCCGCTGGCCTCTTGTTCTAGCTAGTCTAGGACGCTGTCCCCGCTGGGAAAAGAAAAATCGATAACCACAACCATCCTAGCACGTTAGAAATAGTCGGGCCTTGGCATTAACCAACACGGGCTTTCTTTGTCCTCCGAGACAAAGCTAGCCAAATGGTGCAGCAGATCGTCCCTGAGGGACGCGTACAGAAGCACCAACTTGCAGCCTCCCGGAGCTTTCCTGACTTACCCGGCTATGACAATGAAAAAATCCAGGCGGTTCCACGTGTCTCCCAAGTAGCACTTCTTCCCAAAGATCCCGAGCGCAATCATCTTGACTATCATTTCCACAGCAAAGAAGGCAAAGATGAAATCATCGAAGCTCTAGAAAACAAAGCAGCAGAATGAGTTCAGAAGAAAAACAGCCGTGCCCGCCCCCTGAACTACAGAATGGCAAAAAATAAAAATAAAAACGGAAGTCTGCCCCACCGTGACAAAGAGAAAAACACACTACATGGGTACAAGCACGCGTCTCCTGATCCACGATGGCCCAAACGGAGCAATATAGACCCAGGCAGAAGAGAGACTTTGGGAGGAGATGACTTTATATTGTGTACTGAGCTCAAGGAAGATTCCCCAGCAGCTTCCCTCAACTGCTGTTTTTGACATCAGTAGGGCTAATGGAAGGTACTGAGGACCTAATCCAAAGCCCACTAAAGTCAATGAGTCTTTCAGATGACTTTAGTGGGCTTCTTATGAAGCTCTGATTAATGAGGCTGAGGTCTAAGTTCTGCAAATGGGTACAGCTCGGATAGCAATGGTGCACCTCCCTGCACACAGTTCAATCAATGGGCCTCCAATCCTAAAGAGAAGGAACCAACACTTTGGGGGGAGGGAGTATTTTAAATTATGCCTGCACTATAACCCAGCTCTTTTCAAAAGCCCTACTGTCCTCCAGAAGGTTTAAGCTGCATTAGGGCCAAAAGGCAGATGACAGCGGCCTTGCCTGACACCAAGAGCTTGCACCAGTGCGCGCACACTGGCATGACAGCCCTCTGACCGCTGAAATCCTCAGTGTAGGCAACAGCCCAGGCTCGTAAAGGGTCTCAGGGCATTTTTACACGTGGGCAGAAGCGAATTTTGGTATCGTGTGGATCAGGCTCATTTTCTCTCTCTGCACCTGCGAACAGAAATGGGGCTTTTCCTTTGGCCAGCCTAACAGTGCTTCTGGACACTGACAAACGGGAAACCTTCCAAGGCCTCCATTCAATTAGAAACAGTCAGCGAGGAAAGGTCCATACCTGGAGAATCCTGCAGCGCGGGGAGCCGCAGGCAGTATCTTCACAGGGGTGGAACATGCCCAGCGTCACACAGTTCAGGAGAATCACCAGCATGCTGACCCTTTCGAACCAGGTACATAGGCGCTCAGTCAAGGAAACCAACAGCCCTTTCCGAGCAGAACCTGGGAAGGACCTAGGAGGACTCAACCCATCCTTTTCACCCACTGGGATTAAGGAAGCCAAGGCACAAACAGGAAATAATAATGATATCCAGCTCTTCTCTGAGATTTGCCACCTGTGTACCCCAATGAGCTTTACAAAGGAGGTCACCATCTTAACCCCGATTTTATGGAAGAAGAAGATGATAACGAAGGGAGTGATACTAGCTTGGCCAGAGACGCAATCCCTTTTTCAATCCAGGGGTTCCCAAGGTTGCTCTTTTTCAAGACGGCCACTCCCACCCTTACTAAAATTCTCCCCTTGATCCGAGAGCCTGGTACCAATACTTTTCTGTTGCCAGCAGACTTATCTGATCGACTCAGATGCTGCGTCTGGGAAAAGGGGATTTGTATCAGACAAGAATCCTTGTGGGAGTGTCACCATCAAGGAAAAGCCTTACTGAATACACAAGCACTGGAGGGGAATTATACATCGCTCCCTAATACTCTCAAGGTCCCTTCCTAACCTGCTTTGAGTCTCATGTAAAACCTGGGAAGGAGTCTAGGGGGCTGATTCTTTAGGGTTTTTTAGGTCTCAGCTGGCAATTGGAACAGAATTTTTTCCAGGATGTTAGACCTCTGGAGGGGTGCAAACCCAACGGCTTCTTCCCAAGGCAACAAAGCACTTAAGCAAGTGCTCAGGTAAAAAGGACATGCTTAAGGTTTGAGCAATCACTGAATTCTGCCTTCAAAATGGTCTGGAGCTGGTTTCTTAGAGGAATCCTGCACTCTGTGAACCATTATCTTTTTATTTTGGTACCTGCATGACAAAATGATAGCATGTTTTCCCCATGGTGTCTTGACTAGGGTATGACTAATATTTAAGAAACTATGCTGAATAAAGCAGCTATGGCATTATTTCGGTGTGCTGGCACCACACATTACAAAACCAAATCAACAGAACAATGTAAAACTTTTTTTGGGGTGGGGGGGAGGAGGGAGGCATACCCATCTTTTGTACTAACTATTTGGCAGGGACTTAAATAGGGTGGAATATAATTTCACTTAGCTGTGTAAGTTCCT